GTCTGACTCCTTTTGCATAATTTAATGGTAAAAACTTTGCTCAAAATCCTATTGTACACAATCAGATACACCTGATAACAGGGGGCAGAAGACTACACGAAAAATAATCTTGACTTATCGCATAGTAATAAATTATTAATATAAAAAATGTATTTCTGTTTTTTCTTTTTACATATTTTGTTAAAAAGACAAATAAGGAATTCAAACCCAAAAAAAGTTATTTTCTGTTTTGTTTTATTCTTGGATCAGGCTTTAAAGGGTTAACGGAGGAATAAAATGGCGTCTTAGAGCTCGTACGGAGTGGACCTGGAACCTCGTGCACCCGAAAGGAAGTGGGCCAAAAATCAAAGAGCAGGTTTTCTACACAGTTCTAAAAAAAAAGATGAGAAAATCTGTGGATGAGGTTCAATAAATTCTATCAAAAAGGCCTCATTCTAAAAAGTGCACTTAAAGGGAAAAGTGACCCTTAGTTCTGTCGTTAGGCTCCTCCCTTTTTCGGCTTTTAATGGGCCACAGCAAGACCCCTGGTGCACACCGTTTTTTTTCCCGCTTTCCAACTTCTGTTTTGTTTCTGCTAATAAATGCGAAAGGGCCCAGACATCCCAGACAATATTTAGCTGTCCCCTTCAAAGACAGACTCACAGTCTTCTAATAATCTCTGACTCAGATAATGAAAGAAAGACCTCACGCAGAGGTGCATCTTTTCCCTACAAAACAACTCGGATATCAATACTTTGAAGAATTGCTTCGTATCTGAACAGCAAATAAAAGGAGTGGGAAAAAAAACACATTTTCATTAGAGTTTCCATTTAGCAGGAAAAACACTTTTTTTTTTTCTCCGTTCTTCAATTTTAAATTAATTGCAAACGTAAAGAGCCAAGGACATTTGAACCTAATGGCTAATTCCACGCTGAACCACAGGGAAAGGCATTAATAATTCGATGCTCCAAGACAGCAAATTAGCCTTTATTTCTCCTGAAAAACACAAACCGTGGGAAGAGGTAACAAAACAAGACGTTAAACTGATCTTTTGCTAAAAGCTAAATGGAAAACTCCCTCTGACAGACTAGTTTTTTTGCCACACAACGTGATGGTAGTAAGCCACATAATGGTACAGCCACAAAAAAACATATCAAATTAAACCATTTTTTTATTTCTTTATCCTGGCTGGGAAAATAACATGTTTAGTTGGAGCAATTAGCGTCGACAATGGGCCGATTTCATTCTGCCTTCGCTCTAATGAAAGCATCCAAAACACCATTCTCACAGCAAGATTTTCTCCAAAGAACGAGGAAAATGAATAGGAATAAAATAAAAATAAATAGTCTGGCATAAATCAAGTGGGAAAAAATTTGACCCACTTTAACCCTGTAATGCCAAACATATCATATTTGATTCATACGGTTTCTGAAATGTTTTGTGTCTGACACCTTTTGCATAATTTAATGGTAAAAACTTTGCTCAAAATCCTATTGTACACAATCAGACACACCTGATAACAGGGGGCAGAAGACTACACAAAAAATAATCTTGACTTATCGCATAGTAATAAATTATTAATATTAAAAATGTATTTCTGTTTTTTCTTTTTACATATTTTGTTAAAAGGCCAAATAAGGAATTCAAACCAAAAAAAAAATTTCTGTTCTGTTTTATTCTTGGATCAGGCTTTAAAGGGTTAAAAGCCTGATGCCAAAACACTCGGATGAGTTGAACTCCGAGTTTCTTATTCTAGCAGGGCAGTAAAAAGGTCCCACAACTTTTTCGATGCATTTTAAAAGTAAACTGAGAGTTCACTTGTTTC